CCTGGCCGGGCCATCGGCTCTGTACACGCTTTATCTTCAATTGTCAGGTGGTTTCCTGAAAAAATATGATTTTAGATTTGAGATGTCTAATCCTACTTATAACTTGTTTTAATTTTGTAATTTTCCGAAGCCCCCTGACAATCCAGCTTGTTATTTTTATGTTAGGGGAGTTAATAATAAATAAAATGATGGTATTTAAAAGGCAGAGAATTAAATCAAAACGTGCCCAAAACATTATAATAAGTTGTCACCTATTCGTTGAAAGATAAGCCTCAAACAAGTAACAGTGAACATAAAACTTCTGGGCCTTTTATACAATATTCAAGGGAACATTAGTCAGAAAATACAGTCCAAACTTCTCTAGTCCTTTTCTCCAATATTCATGGTAATGACGTTAAAAGGCATCAGCTGATTAACGGGTAAAGACAGTCTCCCATTGGCAGACGCTGTATGAGTCTTTTTTTCCATTGTGTATAAAAGTTTCATCTTTCAGGCCTGGTGTTATTGGGGGATATTTCTGCCATTACTGGGATTCAAATAAAATCATTTACTGACTTGTGTTTTAATTGTGAAAAATGACTTGAGGCTGAAGTCAAAAGCGTTTCCCCTTTTTGATTTAAACTGTTTTCTTCCAATTTTTTTTATATGGTTTTATTGTAATTTTTTTAACTTCCTGTTGCATTCCTAAACTGGGAAAAACTTGAATCAGTCAGAACAGGCTTTTAAACAGGGCGTCTTCATTAAAACCCAAACATTTGGTGTTGTTTTTGGCTTTTATTTTCTATATTTAATCTTTTTCGTGCATATTGTTTTGATTTATTTTTAAAGGTTTGTATTCTGTTTTATTTGTAGCCTTTTGTAAACCGTGTTGCTGAAAATCAAAAAAAAACCTTGGTAAATGTCTCTACCAACAAAAAACATTGTGCAGATTTTGGGAAACTGTTCACATTCAATTATTTCTTGATTCCTGCTTCCAATAAAGTATAAGAACAAAGACATCTTCTTTTATTTTTTTCCGGGCATATATTCTTCTCTCCTCTCTTTCCACAAAGCTCTTTTGAGGATCTTAAGTTGTTGTTTGTTGTGTGTGTTTGTTGTGTTGTGTTGGTTTGTGTTGTGGTTCATTTTTATTGGGGCAAACATTTTCAAAAAGCACCCGTTGAAACATTTTTTTATTTAAGAAACGTAAAACATTTCTACCAACAAAACCCTGAAAAACTGTTTTCTGTATTGGCTGCTGTTTCAATTGTTATGTTTTTTCAGGTTTCAAGTCTTATTCCCAAAACTTTGAACTGAATTTTTTTCAGAAGGAACCTTTAAATTGCACTTTTTAACCTTTTACAGGTTGAAACTTAATTTCTAAAAACTTTTGAAGCACATGTCCAAATGTTTTTCCATTAAAAACTTATGAGTAAGCTTGTTGTTCTTCTAAAACAAAAGGCTGATTTAGGAGTGAAAATTCAAATTTCTTT